TCAGTATTTATTTGTAGTTAGTTTTTTTCCCTCTTTCTGTAATATGTTACTGCTGGATGTACGGGGTTCAGAATTTTGCTATGAGCCTTAAATAGAAAATTGATGAATTTGGATACTAGAGTGTCAAAATGCTGTATCGTATCGTTCTCAGGTGGTAATTGGATAAATCTTTTGAGATCGTATTCGAATTTGTCTACCCCGTGGGTTATGTGGTTTACAGGTTTATCATTATTGTCAACGGTTTCTGACATAATATTCAAAGGGGCCTGTTCTTGCGTGTTACGTTGAGAGCAGGTGAATAAGCCATTTATTAATTTTGGTATTTTTAGTTGCGCGTGTGCACCAGAAACTCTGGAAAATTACCATTTAGGGAGATATATGATTTTTCAAAACCTCGACAAGTCACCATTGATTTTGTGGCTCTTTACACTATTGTAACTGTGTTTATGTCTGCGTTGCCTTCCGACGTGTTAGATTTCACAACCAAACTGGCACTATCATTGGGCGTACCTGACTGTTTATAAAGCTCTGTAAAGTCTAGTCTAAACCGGTCCGGTGATTTAATTAAAACCGTTCCCCTTGTCTACAAAAAAAAAAAAAAATCAGTCTGGTCCATCCGCCGTCAATTCAATAAGATAATAAAAGTCTTAATTTTGAAGGAACGGGTACAGTTTTTCTGATTTGGATAACAATAGATAACTGCGAACGGCTATCTTGTTGTATGCGCTCTACTATGCAATTTATATCTTTATTATCCTGGTAATAAAGTTTAGTACTCTTTCTTTCTGCATCATATAATTTTTGATCGTATATTTAGTCGTCCGGTGATAATACTTGAGTTCACACTCCATACACGAGTTAATATTATCACGTGACGTTCAAAATGATTGCAAAAGAATTTTACAAAATTATTTAAAACGAAGAATCAGTTACTAATTTTTTAATTACGAAAAATCTTTTAGTAAATGTAGAAAATATATTGTATAATAAATGTGATAGTGAAATGAAGTATTACATAAAAAAAGAACGCGGGAAAGAAAGGAAATTGTTGAGGTGTAAAAGGAAAGGGTGTCAAACTACTCAAAGTATAAGGTAAGAAACGCCATTTAATATTTCAGATATAATATTAATTACTTATATATTTAGAAAGGACAATAGTTTTTGGACGTACATTGACAAAAACGGCCGTAACAATAGCGGATTGAGCATCGGTGCACAACTTGAACTTGTCTATTATTGGTGTTAAAATATAAAACAGTCTACAATTATCACTTTAACCGGTACATCAGATCATAAGTACAGTGTAAGACTGGATGAACTTATGTCGTGATGTACCTGTCAGAATGTTTCAAAGTCATACTAAATTTGGAGGACTCGGAATAGTGATCCAAGTTGATGATTGCTATTTAAGAGGGACGAGGAAAAATAATAAAGGTCGATTTCGACTTGCAGATTTATCAGCTGAAAATCTAAACGTCGACAACGACTCTGATTCGAAAAATGTTAATCCTCTAGAATACGGAGCAAGAAATTATGGAAGACGACTTGATGGATCATAGGTATTCGGCTTGTGTGACAATAACGAAGGAAGATATTTTGTTGTCCAAAAAAGGGATAAAAAAACTTTGTATGAAATTATACAAAGAGAGGTTATTGTTGGGTCTACAATACATTCCGATGGCTAGTCAGGGTATAATGAACTTTCGGACCAGGGATACAATCACTACGTTGTAAACCACAGCGAAAATTTCGTAGATCCACTATCGAAGGCAAATACACAAAGGATCGAAAGTTTATGGCGGCCTCTGAGGCTAAAAATTGTGAAAAATATGTGTGGTACAACTCCAGATTTGCTTCCAAGGTATAATATTAAATATTATAATATAATAATGAAACCTAGGTATATAATAATATAATAACAATTACAGGTATCTTATTGAAACACGGTGGTGAGGTTTGAATAAAAGTGACACATTTAACGCATTTCTGAGGGACATGGCACAAGTATTTTAATATTTGTTTATTTAATTTTAATTTTTTTATATTTTTTATTTTTAATTTTTAATTTTTAATTATTTATTATTATTTTTTAGCGAAACAATGACGAACGCGTTGATTATATTATTATTCGAAACAAATAACGAGACGACGACGACGACTAACACGTTAATTGTATATAATAATTTGTAATACTTATATAATATATTACTTATTCATACAAATGTTTGCTCTTCATTAAAACCACTGTTACATCATCCTACTTATTACGAGAATATATAGTCTAAAATCTAAATATAATTGTAGCCTAGTACCTGTAACTGAGCGCATACTGCAGTCGCAATGTTGCCGGTAAAGCGCATACGACAAGATAGCCCAGCGAACTTGATAAGAACAAAAAAAAAAAAAGCTAATGCCAACCTTCAAAATTTAAATAAAATCCCAATTCCCGTTTTGTTTTCCAGCAAAAATAATTGATTTCATACCAATAGTAATTTTTCGAAAAATCTATACTGAGAATTTTGTCTTCTATAAATCTATAATGTAAGAATAACAATGGCATCGGTAGATTGAGAGTGTGGAGGTATAAATTATTATTTTTCCCCAACAAAAAATATTTGCTATAAGCCCCGCAAAGAGTAGGGACGATTCTGTCGATAGTAGGCATTTTAGCTCAAAATTATTGTACAATAATCTTCCCGTCGAAGGAAAAGTATGGTTTATAGTAACCATTATGGTTTATTTGTTAATTGTTATTTATTTAATTGTTCAACTGCCACAATTTTTCTATGTGTTCTCTTTTTAAAAAGCAGAGCTTCTGCATTCACTGATACTCCAAACGGTTACTTTAATTGGAAACACCTAAGCCCTAATTAATTGCTTCATGAAAATGCATTTCTTTACCCACAATGTTATATCGAATAGAAAGAATTAGAAAATCGCATTAAAAAAAGAAAAACAATCTATCTTGTTTGATACACTGTAAGACGTAGGTATATTTTATTAGTTAAAAGAAACCTTTTTTATCTGTGTTGGTAGGAACAAATCGAAATATTTTTTCAAATTTTGCTATAATTTTCAAAGTGATATTTTCGTTTATTTTCTTGTACTTTTCAAATTATTTATGTATTTCAATAATAATATTATTGTTTTTATTTAAATTATTTTGAATTATATTGATCCTAGTTATCAATGCATCTTTTACACTGTTACTAATACCGGTCTGAAACATTTTTTTTAAAATTAAGAGTTCTATTTTTAACTCAGATTCATAGAAGCTATACGTTGTACACAAGCATTTATATCAATCATTTTATAATAATTAATAGCTTGTCTTGGTGAATTTTCTTCGCATACCTTACACATTATTCATCTTATTCCTTACCTTATTCACGTACCTTACACAATATCTGTAGGATTTCAAGAAAATTTTCAGAGAAACTTTTTGCAATATCTTTAACCTATAATTATAAAAGTAGTGTATATAACTAATTTTTAAATATTCTTCAACACTAATAATCTGGTAGTTGATTCCCTTCTTCTAGTTTATTATAAATTTTGAAATTATAGAACTTCTTGGAAGTTTTGAAAAGTATACTTAATTTTGTTATAATCAAAAGATTTTTAAATTTTAAATCACTAACCTATTATTTTAAACAGACTCATTAATCTTTTTTTTTTTTTCAAAATTATTGTGCATTTAACCATAGTCTTAACAATAGCATAATTATTTTTAGTGATTATAAAAATAAATTTATTCCAACAATTAAGCCTAAAACTTCATTAAAAACATTGAGACAACAATAAATTCAAAGTTTCGTGTGTATTAATTTCAGAAAGAATCATATAAACGATCTTAAAATTTTAAGAACAGAACGTATGGCTTCTATTCTCCAGTTCCAATGAATATCACTTAGTGATTTTAATGTTTTCTCAACTACATTTTTTGATAGTTCGACAGTTAATTCTTTTACATTTTTAAATACAACATATATTTTTTAATATGTTTTTATATAGATACAATTATAAATGGTTGTTAAAATACTAAAATAATTTTCTTTTTTTTATCTTATTTTGAGCACCACTGCAGTACCCTCTCATTAAAGTCCCCCCCCTCATAACACTGATCTCTTATAAAATTTATGTTAAGACCAGATAACTAATCCATCAATTTTATAAATTTTTTTGGAGTAAATTATTATTCTATCAGTTAGAAAATTATTGGCAAATCATTTTTGACAATTTGATGTAGCCTGTCCACTTTGCAATATTTATATGAAAATTCTATAATCATTAAACAAATAGTAAGCAAATTGTGAAAAAATCGTATAATTTCCAATAAGATATTACCATAGATACAATTTACCAATCAATAAGAAAAAAAATTCTAAACTACGTTAAGAACAATTGAATACACGCTTTATTACATTATAAACCACCCTTAAATTGCATTTAATAACTTTCAGTCATGAAAAAATTGTTCCAATATATTGCATTATTTTTATATTGAGAAAGCATAAATTATGAGGAATTAAATTCTAAAAATAAAAATCAATATAACATTTTAATATTATCTCACCCATTCAGTTAACGTAATGAAAGATAGAAATGGGGTGGCGAGAATTTTTTTTCAATTTTACTAGAAATATTTTAGTATGGATTTAAAGAATTTTTGTAAAAATCGATGGAGCCTTGAAATATGTGGGCGTTCAAGAAGTTAGATAACTGAATTGATAACTGTCTGATTATCGGTTATAATTTATTTTGTACTAGAAACTTATTTAACTTCAGAACATAGTTATGTAATAAATTTTAAAAATCAGTATTTATTGTTTAAAATAATATTTATATTATATTGATGAGTGCTTCAATGGTTCGTACATTTTATGATTAATAGGATTGATAAAAGTCTATAAATGTATTATTCGTAACTTTAAAAAAATAATAATTACTATAATACTTAACAATTGCAAAATAAACCTTACTTTATGATAATAATAATAATATTATAGTTAACAATAGTAATACAATAATATAACATTATAAAAACAAAAATAGATATTTGGTAAACGTCAAAACGCAAAAACAGTGTTTTAGTGGTAAATTAACTGATACGCAACGGTTTAGCTTGTACAACGCAATACTATTAACAAAATAAAAGAAAAAAAAATAGGAAATGTACAAAGTGTAAAAAGTGTCATGTATTTTAATCCGAAGATAGTAACTCTTGTTCCAGATTCGACGGAATTTTTCCACTATTGCCCGACTCGAATCCACCGTCGTTGCTCGATGCATAATCGTTCTCGCCATGTTCAGGATCATCAAAACTAGAAAGTACCATATGTGAATATGGATTAAACGGTGGCCGAATAACTAAATGTATTACAAGGGCGGAACTATTATTTTATCGGCTATCGACCGAACGATAAGTAAACTGCAGTAATAAAGCATAATGATAATAAAAGAACACTATTGAACAATTGTATTGTTTTCAATAATTCCCATAATACTTGGGCACCATAATAGATTAGGAAAAATATTATGCATAATGTTACAATACGATTCTAATGATTAATTGCCTTACGTAAATGGTTTTTGTTCTCCTCTCATCTCACATATAACATTTGTCAATGCCATTATGTAGTTCTTCGCCAATGTCAATGTCTCCAACTTGGACAGTTTACGTCCCATTTTCACATGCGGAACCACTTCGCGTAATTTCTATAACGTAATTAAAAATCTTCATATTATTATAAACATATGGACATCTCAATACAAATAAAACAAAAACTGTAATAAGCCTTTTCAACAGTAATAATCATTGATTAACATTTTATTTTAAAATATTAATTAGGCACTTTAATCATAGTTAACAAGTTCTACGTCTGCATAAAAACATGATTTATTGCTTTTATAGCTGAAAATATTGTTATGCATGTCGAACAACACCCAGCTAATGCGTGTTAAAATTTAACATGCAATTTTTTATCAAACGTTTAATTCGTATGTATAATAAGTTAATAAATAAAATATTTTTCGTTGCACAAGTTCAAGTATAAATTAAATCGAATAAATCCGTACTCTCAAAATGAACGAATATTGTCTATGTTTTATGCTTATGAATTCAATATTTCAAAATCAATAATGGTCTTTAATACCGGTTTTTATTTTTATTACTCAAAGAGGCTGGAACGAAGCATGTTGTGGCAAGAATAGCTAGAATACCCATTTTTCGTTCATCAATTTTTTTTATTAAAATGCCCTGGGGCTTTATATTATATTATTATTTAATCGACCCAAAAGTCTTAATAAATATGTTTAACAACTGTATATACTTGTATACTATACATTAATATATACAGTACACATTGATGGAGTTGCACTTCCAATGAAGTGGCTCCTACCTTTATTTACATTTTTAAACTAAGTCATACAATTTCAGACGCTTAAGACGTATAATGCCCCTGGAGTTGTCCAGTAAATAGATGGCCATCGTATTGACATGGTGATCTCGGTGATGTGCATCGTTTCATTCAAACCGGTAGGCTGCAGTGATAGTCCGAAGAGTGATGTTTTGACATCGTTTTATTGTATCAACGTTATAGTTACTAACATAACCCCATAGTTGAATGCCATAGGTCGAGATTGGTTTTATAATGGCTACGTATAGTAGACGTTTATCTTCTATAGTTAACTTGAAGTGGAGTCCTACTAATCAGTAGAGCTTTTGTATTTTTTTTTCAATTTGCAATTAATTTTGCCACACATGATGTTTCCAGTTTAAATGAGAGTCAAGGTCCATTCCAAGGTATTTTCTGAATCTTTTTGGGGAATTGTTATTTGATTCAATAATACTTGAATGTTTTCGGTCTTGCATAACGTATAGTGAACATATGATACTAATATATCCTATTTATCACTATTTATCCTAAACTTCCAACGTATTGCCAAGGTAAAGATGAACGTCGAAGAGAAGAGAAGAAGAGGAAGACCAAAAAAGATATGGTTGGATACAATTGAGAGAATGATATGAGGGCTGTTAGTGTGTTCGTAAGGAATGTAGAAAATCTGGACGAGTGGAGGTTTACGATAAAAGTAACCGACCCTAAATAGTTTAGAGAAGAAAAAACAATCTAAATATATTTATATGCTATACTAATTAAATAGGTATTTTTGATTTTTGATAAATTAAAAAAATTAAATGTCTTACGGTTCTTTATTCTACAATCAGTTTTGTAACACTGAGTGAAAATGACCTCTTGCTACGCGAAATACTTTGTTGGATCCTTGTAATATTGAAATAGGCAATCAAATATCGTTTCATACATTTAAGTAGTGTTTTACATAATAAACATTAACTTTATGAAATACTAAATGTCATTATTTATTACGACACAAAACTATTATTATTATTATTATCATAAAAATAAAAACTTACTATCAAAAGTAAGTATATAAACTTCCTTAACAGTTGATAATAAACTTACTAGTTGACAGCTGTTAATGCATCATAAACTGTTCATTGTGATTATAGGACACGATATAAGGTCACAGATATTGTGTATGTTATTGACTCGTTAAACAAAATAAATCGCATATACTGCGGTTTATTATTACGCAATTACACAAGGTGACATAATAATATAATATTAATGTGTAAAAATATAATATTAACAAATTTTAATATATTTTTATAATTATTATTTAATAATTCAAATGAATTGCGTACAAATTAAGTTTAATCTGCTCTACGAAAAGATTATTTTCTGTTGGCTCATTTCTATATTTTTAAATTATTATTTTCAATCACTAGATATATTCTGTGGTTGAAAATATTGTTAAAAATACACCAAGTTTGGTTTATTTATTTATTTTTTTCTTTAATTTTTTTTATAGGTATTTATTATATGTTTTGATTTCATCAAAAGGATTTATTGAAGAAAATCATATTGAAGGTTCATCTTCTCATAACGTATTTAATCCAAATCTGAGCTGGTTATAATTGTTCAAATACTATTGATGAATGTTTCATTTAATCACGTAATCAAAGTCTTTATGATTAATACTATTGTGCAATATCCGAAAACCCGTACGTTTGAATAAATAAAAATAAATTTATTACATAAAAATAAATATAAATAAAATATTTCGTATTGAAAAATGTTTTTTTTCCATAAAACACGTTCTTTTAATTCTAAGAAATATTATTTGATTCTATACGAAGAAAAGGTATCAAAACTAAAAATATGTTACATTTTTCGCTTAAAGTAAAAAAAGAATGCTCAACGTTATCCACACAAGCCCTTCAAATTTTAACGTCTTATATTAACATAACCGTGTGGAAAAAATTTTTTTGACTTATTATATAAGTTAAATAAATATAGAAATCAATTGAACATAAAGGACAACTTAAGAGACTTAAAGTTACCAATATGGAGTCCGATATTGACGTCTTCTTTCATGCAAATAACATCAATCGTCACATTAAGTTACTTCATTTTTTTTCAAATTTACATTAAAGGATTCTCATTCATAATCGTAATTAAACGAATTAATAAATAGCAATAAAAATAATAACTATTTAATTTAATGTTATTTTTATATGTATTAAATGCTTACATTTTAATATTTTAATAATAAATAGATTCATGTAATATATGATAATATTAATACCTATATAATTTATAATAATTTACTAATTTTGTAAAAAAACGTTTATGTATTTAATTTGATAATAACTAAAAACAAAAAAAAAAAAGTTATTAGATCAAATGATACGTAAAAAAATTTCGAAATGTGTAAGTAGAACCCGAATATAAAAAGGTTGGGAACCACTGCCTTAAAAGCCTTCCTGACCAAATATTTTATTTAAAATAATATTTATTTAATATACTTGTGTTATTATGTGTGTATATTTAAAAAGCTGTTATTTTTTTATAAGTTTATGCAATACGTATATTTGACGATAAATTAATGATACTATCGAAATACTTCAATTTCACTTCGTAGAAAATAATATTAATATTGTTGAATGAACGATTCGAAACCCTCCGGGTGGATTTGAAATTAAATCAAACTAAGTCGCAAGAATCCGAAATTACTGTATTGAAACAAATTGAATTCGAAGGCAATGACCCAATTCACTCGGTTCAATTATTTCAAACACTTTTTGAACACGCGCATGATATAATGTGACACGGCATGTACACCGAACGATTACACGTGATTACGCACATTTAATTACAAAAGTTTGATAACCAATTAAAGGAAAACATTTTCAAAACTGTCGAACTTTATGCTACCGTAGTACGAATATTTAATATATTCATATTTTCTACGTGACCACTTTTAAAGTTTCTTTGGGCCTATATAACACCATCTTCGGTTATAATACCTGCGCATACTATTTTTTCTAAGGTACCCGTATTGTAGCTATCTCTATGTAAATCTCTAGGGAAATACTGATTTCAAACCACTTTTCCGTTAAACGTGTTACAATACTATTTATTGATAGTGAAGCCTCTCTTTCACTCGCAATTACAATATTACTCTCCATGATTCTTAGCTTTAAATTATCGATGCTAAGTCATTACCCGGTCTTCGTAACGCGTTATATATTAAAATATAGTATCGTAACATTACTGCGTATAATGTAAAACAAGTAAACGTGAAATGTGCAAACGAATAAAATTTGTTCCACGAGTTACATATATATACAGATTCTCAAGGTTTAAACAATCATTTGACTAATTATTTGGATATTATGTGGTTTTCTGTGTTTACTCGATAAAATTATACATTATTATGGTGATGTTTAGTTTAAGGATTAAGGTGGAGAATAATATTGCACTACATATCCTATAAATGATAGAACGTAAAAATAATGTGTTGAGATTTCAAAAATATTATTGCTAGATAACAGGCGACTGGTTTTAATTTAGAAAACAATATTTTACAAATAAGAATATCATATGTTTTGCGTTAATGCGATAGTTACCTATAGCCAAACAGTGTTTGTAAATACACTACCTACTTGAAACTGATATTTAATGATTTACATATGTTTCGTTACTATTCAATATTTGCTTTGCTGGTTTCTTGTGCCCTGTGATTTTATAACTCGTTAAATCCAAATAAATGATATTTCTATTATACGAAAACACATCTCTATTGCCTGGAATTCGAAGAGAGAAAAACGTCTACTCCAACATCATACACAATACCTAATTTAGCTAATTATACGTTTTACACAAACGCCGATCAATTCAGTCATTGTTTCAACTGTTTTCGATCACGAAAGTTGTGTTGTATAGTACTTAGATAACTTATAGAGCTACATGACTAGATAGTGTACTCGGTATATAACTAAAGTGCGGGTTTCATAGGCTTATACTTTATTGTTCAGTACGTTTCTAGGTTAACGGTTGAAAGCTCATATAGGTCAGTCGACTGCGATGTTTAACGAAAAATAAAAATAAAATAAAAAAAATAAACAAGAAAGCACAACGAGGATATAACTGATTTTTTTATAATTTCGCACGCTTTTTTTTTTGTTTATTATCCCACTCGAGCGCATCATTACAATCACACCTCATTAGTTATGACCCGTGACAATAGGCCTACGTTTCGAAAAATATCATTATGATACGATAATTTCTCTGTACCCACGTCGTACGCACAACGCGCGCATGTGATCGCGTTACAAGCCCGTTCGTTTTCGTATTTTTCGTGTTCAAATTTTGTCCGACGGTTTCAGACGGTTATCATGCGCGTACCTACGTAAAAATGTTATCTTTTACTTATCGCGTACCTCAAAAGCGTCGTTTAAGGAGTGCATGCGCAACCTTTCGCGTTCGTTGCTCTCCAGTCTTCGCATGTTCCGGTCCTTGGCCGACAGCGATTCCACCGACCGCCTTTGCCGGATGCTCCTGCGACATCTCCTCGTGTTGGACGTGACTGTCGTGCCGTCGTCCTCGTCCACGCTCGTCTGCCGTTTTCGCTTTCCTGCCAGAGGTCTTCGCGATTTCTCGTCCGAACTTTCGGAATCACCTGCGACAAACCCAAATGTTTACAAAAACACCCACTTATCAACTACCGTAAACACCAATCAACGCTATTAGAGCACGTACGTGTTCAAGTCGGATCAATTAGTGCTACGGAAAAACATTTATTTATCTAAATCTTTGAAGACCCCAAGTAAGTTATGCATCAAGTTGTATTTATTACGATAGGATTTCATAGCATGGATCAAATCAATTACTTCATATAATTTTTTTGAATTTTTTTTTTTATTTAAGTTATGAATCAGAAAAATTGTGTACATGCATATAAAAGCTATGCTATGGAGGTTGTATTCAAGTACGTTTGTCGGGTATGGTGGTACGAAGAAATTACTACTTATCTTACTCAGGAGCTCTGAACAGCGTAGCTTACCATTGATATAGACGTTCGTTCAATATAATTATTTAAACGCGAAAAAGCGTATTCATACCGTGCGTCCGTAATAACACAGTGACATACTTTTAACGTTATCGTCGTCGTCTTCGGACGCATTATTGTTGTCCGGTAGGTAAAACGAACCGTCCTCTGTGCTGGGCGATCTCGAATGGTCAGTAGTGGAGACGTCGAAAGATCGGCCGCGAAGTTGTAGTCCGTCCAACATGTCTTCTTCTGAACAGAGATCTCTGGTACTTAGCATAGAAGTCGAATACCTGAAACACAGCGTTGTATAATGTACGATAACGCGTATTATGAATTATATGCGTATCATCTACGAGCACGTAGCATGCGACCATTTCATTAACTGAATATTTATTCCTATTAAAAGCGTCCCGCAGAAAATAGTTTTTTTATTTTCAACGGCTGCTATAGAAAAACGTCAACAAAAGTATCGGTCGAACATTATTGTTGGCGATCACCATTCGGTTCCCGGTTCAAATGTTAACCAATTGGACCTACTGAAGAATTTACTTAGAACACGTACTATTAGCACGTACTACTTAGCAGCACGTGTTCGGTGAAGCCAAAGTTTGAGTAAATGGATGTAAAAAAAAATAATTGTGTTGAAAACCACAGTTAATCGGTTAAACCGATTAATCGGTTAAACCCTCGCCGAGTTCGTGATCTCCTTCTGATCTTAATCATTGAACAACGCTTTAAGTGACTATTACGATTGTTGTAATATTATTTTTGTGTTGGAAAATTACACAAATCACAACATAGTTAACCCGTTGCGACGGTTGTCGATCATATCTTCCGATGATTGTCGTTTGCACAAGAGAACGTATTATGAACGTAGTATATCAAACAATTGGTTTCATTTAATTCATTTTTAATATTTTTAATTTTGTTTTTAACTGAAATACAATTACGAAATTATGTCACAGTGAAATGTCTAACTGATCTTTCAGCTTTTATCAGTTCCTTGACGAAGCTCGAATTTGAACTCACATTCCTATATGTAAGACTTGATTTGGTGACTTACTTATAATATCACTTAAAATAACAGATAAACTATAATCCGGTACCTATATTATTCAAGATAAATTACAGTTTAAAGATAGGTATTACTTGTTTTCGATATAAATAGCACGATGTAATAAAATATAATATTTTTTTACGTTGTATTGTCTTAGTATTTAGATTTTATGACTCAAATATGTAATAGGTACTAAATTACATCTTGCACATCATAGGTATCGGAGCATAATATTAATTATAAAGACTGTGGTTATCTATTACAGCGTAACCTTCGTAATAAAATGTTAAGTATACTTTTTTGATTATAATTTATTAAAAACCATTAATTTCTATAAATAGAGAAAAACTATACCTACACCATAAAATATTCAAAACATAATTTGAACAAGGTAAGAAGGATAGGATCGAAAAGTCTTCTAAGTATATCATGTAAATCTAAAAATAGAAAATAAATATTTATTCATATTTATTGGATTTTTTTTTTTTTTTTTGTTAGCATTTTTATTGGATATTTAGTATAATAATTTTTATACAACTAATTATGATTACTGGTTGATTATAGCTAATAATAATTATTATCAAAATCGCTATTTGAATAATTATACGGTTAAAACATCTAAAATACAAATGTGCGAATGCAACAGATTATTAAATATATTAATTTTTTCTTTTTTTTAAACTATTTAAACGATTGATAAAAACGTTTAAAACCATAAAACTTAATTTTTAGGTACTTACATAAACTATCTATAATCTGTAGTTCAATTATAACATATTTTTTATTGCATTTCCTTGTATTATATTGAATGAATCAAGGACGAAATATCAACTATTACCATTCATATTTTTATTATTGTATAATCAAGTATTCACAGTGAACCACTGGAACATGTGAATCCGACTTTTATCGATGAAATATTGTATTGATTTCTATGTGAAAAGTATGAATTTATATGATTATTATATTTCGTTGGAGATTTCATGTTCGAGATGATTTGCGTTCACGTCATTTTTAATATTTTTTTTATTCGTGTGCAAATATTTATTTTTTTAGTGTATTGTATATGTTTATGTGTTGCATTACAATATTATACCAATTAATATTTTACAAATGCGTTTTTGAAATCTATATCGACTGTAAAAATAAAATACGTTAAAAATGAGTGTATACGTCAAACGTATTTAATGAATTAAATAAGACCACGATAATATTTACTATTTATTTCTAGATTACAAACCATTCACGTAGTACAGCAGTATTACAGCATTCTTATAGAAGTCGAAAATTTTTTCTTCGTTTGTGAATAAAATCAGAAGGGACACCGTGAACAATGCATCTTAAATGATTCGATATGAAATATTTTATACGAATAAAAATAAAAATAAATTAACCCGATGTACCGTTCGTGATATACGCTTAAGAGCAAGGCCGGATTAAAGGGGGGTCTAGCCGGAATGGCAGCCCCGGGGCCTTCTCGAGTACCCAAGTAAAAGAGGCCCAAACAGTTTTAAGCCGATACACATTTTTATCATACTAAAATTAGTAGTTTTATAGACATATATTTTATATACCTATTAATTTTTAATTTTATAATGCAACTGACAGTTTGTAGAATAGTTAAAAAGCAATTTATTTGTCTGCGAGCGTAGCGAGCGGCTTTGCAAAGCATGTTTTGTCAAAAGGGCCTATATAAAATTTCAGCCTTATGGCCCAGTAGAGATGCTTAATCTGAGCCTTGCTTGAGAGTGTTTATCGTCGTACATTTCGAATTCATCTGACTCGAGTAGATAATAATGATATGACCGTTAACCTCATAATATACGTTAATAATTATTTGCCATAATCAATGCGGTGTAACTATAATCGTTATCTATATCGTTATTCTTACAATCCAATTTAAATATTTGTTAATGTATAGTCAAGTATATATAATACGTCGTAATATTACAACGGTACCTATATATTATCCGAAAAAAAGTTGATATTGAGAGACGACGATTAAAATTTTTATGGCCGAAAGAACATGAAAGTTTCAGTATTTGACGTAAAATCGAATTATTTGAAACCGTAAGTAATCATCAAACACTTCCGTTCGCACGACCCGGCAATATGCGCATATACGTGCAATTATAAAGCGTTTTTGGTTACACCGTGCGCACGTATCGGCGGGTAAGTGCCTCCAACACGGTATGCGCTATCAACGTGTTCATTAACCTGAAATTGAAATATTAAAATTCGGTATCAACGCGCAAACCACCGACGGTTGTTTTGTATGCAAATGTAACTCGGTGGAAGTTTAAGAGTTCCGCTCGCCCCGATTATAACCGTACGGCAGTCACTCTATATGTATCTACGTTTGTACAAACACATGCACGCAGATAAGAGTTACTTTTTAAGGGGTCAAACAACTGCTCGTATGCAAACGATTCGTTATGGTCTTCGCGTTTCGAAAAACTTTGCCGCGTACGTCGTGATCGGTGTACGATACGACGTACCGAGTGCCGGCCGAACTCCCTGGTGTGAATCGCGCAGAAAATGTCACCGCGATTGACGCTACATCGACATATCGTATTGGTACTGTTGAAACGCGCGTCGCGCCGAGTAAAAACGATTTGCAATAAATGCACGAAACGAGAAAAATATCGAGTGAAAAAACGCTTATTGCGGAAATGTGTTTTTTCATTGTTTTTTTTTTTTCGCGGAATAGAACGTTCGATATTTACGATTTAGAAACGGCCGGGAAACGATTCGACCGATTTTGAACGCTTTCCCTTTAGTATCCATTCGAAGACGTGTAATCGACTAACCTAAAATCAAAGACCGACAGTAAATTGAGTTTTTTTCCTGTATAAACACTAATGTTCACGTACCGTTGAAAACGCGTTTCTCAACAACTGAACTTGTTACAAAATTGCTTACCAATAAGTGGTAATGACTAATGAATAGGAAAAATAAAAAAGTAAAACAATAACGCCAATTGCAACGCACATTTCGATGGCAGAAATCGAAAGTTTTAATTTTTAATTTTCCCGATAAATTTGGCAAAATATGCGTTGCTTTCTAAAATCTAATTAAAAGTACTATAAGTATTATATACTATATTATATATTAATCACATTAACGTGTAGACCAGTGGTTCCCAAACTGTGCACCACGGTGGCTAAGGGGCACCACGAGCACTTTCTAAGGGCACCGTGGTTTACGGTTCATAACAAATAGTTTAAAATGTTTAGATTTTTTTCCCCTAATTGTTTTCGTAAAAACTTTATAGCAAATAATGAAATATTTTCTATTGTATATTCGGACATTCTCATTTTAACCTTACAATATTTTTAATAATAGTTAAAATAATGATAACAATAATTTTTATTTATTTAATTTTTAAGTTTAAAAATTCATTAATTCATAATTAAGTTAAATTTTAATAGAATTAATAAAATTAACTATCAATGAGTATTTTTTTTGTCCTGTCTTTCATGTTGTTCACAGCAGGGCACCGTGGCTAAATTGAGTAAAAAAAAAAGCACCGCAGAAAAAAAAAGTTTGAGAATCACTGGTATTGACGAATGGCAGACAATGGATAAAATAGATTACGATGAATACCTGTTAAAATACATTGTATCGTTTGTAACGGTTATAACCCATGGTTTTAGATATTCTGAACGAGAATTTAATTTAATTTCAACAAGAAAATTACGTACTCGTTAAACGGCTCTCTAAAAAATAAAATTGTACATCCTCCAGAAGAAAAGAAAAATTAAAAATGCCAACTTTGGCTGGTGAATGATTAATTATTGGTATCTAATACCATCGATTTATGATTTACAGAAATATTTCGATACTCGTGAGTACGATCAAGATTTTACACTGGACGCCAACATCAAAATAAATATGGATATTTTTTCGGTTGAAAAATCAGTTTCTTAAAAAAAAACCTACTACTAACATGGGCATTTTAGTTTTAAATTGAAAAACTAGAAGAGCGATTGTTTGACAGTAATCATTTTTGAACTACATAAATTTATATGTCTGTGTAAAATATTGTCTTTTAAAACTTGAGACGATTTTTCGACTATAATACTTACTGTCAAAGCTTTTTGCCGTACATAACAATCTTCGGTTTTAATTAAATTTCAAAACATACACACTACATTCGAGTATTTTGTTATCAACAGTTAATAAACACTTGTTGTTTTGAACGGACTTATTGATGTTTGTCGTTTTATAATTGTTTATTTATATATGTAATACGTGTACACACATGTCATATTATTGAAATTTAAAATACTAACTTTTTTTAGAATACAAAAAAGGTTATAGTGGTCGCTAATTTTAAAGTTAGTGTTATGCTCAGTTCTCATCCTACATCTTGAACTAACGTTTAGTGATAGTAGATTTGATTTATTTCCACGCACGGACAATCGTTTTTGTCATTATTATCTAAAAATATTGCAATCCAATAGTTTGCACTTAGAAAACTGATCGGAAATAAAAAGTATTTAAGCGCCTAACCAATCCGAGTACATGGTAGTAATAATGATTTACACGCGACGCGTTTATCTGTTGCGTTGTATTTCGTTTGTTCGATATTATTATAGGTATGCTGTGTGTTCGACACGTGTACCGTTGTTTCGATAAAACCATATGGGCATCACACGAGCTTGCACGACCTTGCTTTGACCCGGCGCAACGCGCGAAAAAATGAAACCTATAACGATAATATTTAAAAGATCGTACGTATGTGTTTGTTAACGTATAAATAATAATAACAAATAATTATAGAAAGTGATTTACGGCAGAAGGTTGCAAAACGACAAATAAAGACCGGCTAACTACAACTATCAAGGGAACACTTCAAAACAAAATCACCCGCGTGATTGATTACTAAACACACGGCACTGGCCGACGTAGTAACACACCGTCGGCGTGTAAACAACAGTACAATCGTATTTATCGTACAGAAATGTTATGACATATGTAACGTAGGCATAGCAGTATACGCCGTTCTATGATCACTGCAAACAACACATTACATTAAAAACATATTTTCGTGATCGTCGGGAACGAGTGTATGGACACAATAATATAATACGCATTTGAATACGCGGTGTCGGACCGAATGCATCGATACTATACAATATGAGCGGCATAACAACACTTACCGAAATAAATCAATCCTTACGAATTATTTATGTTCTTAACATTTATTTATTTATTCATTATGCGTTACATAGTACTAGCTTATCAGGCTTCGTCTGAGAGATCGAAACGATGCGAATAAAAAAAATTTAGACCGAAAAACTCTAGGTGTGTACACAGGAAAAACAAACAACAGTCCCTCGACATTTCAAATGAATCGGTAGATATGGTTGTACACCTATCAGTGAGTGGACGGTGTTTGAATTTTATACTTAGATGAATATAGATTTTCTATTACGAAATTATTCAAAATATTTGGTGAATAATATTACTAAACCAATTATTTATCGTTTGATTTTATCCGATGAGCTTTTAGTGACCGTAGGTCGCTTATTTCACGTCGCCATTAACGAGTAGAGTCCGTCAATGGCGTGTTTAGTATTGCAATAGTATACCGAACGGCGGCGTGACGTCGCGGCGAACGTTAAGTAACCAAACTCAGACGATTGTCTCGAAAAGAAAACGAAAACATGTGTAAAGTCTAAATTAGCTATAAATGTTCCGAAACACAATATGTTTTACAGGCGTTCCGCGCAATAATTAAAGATTATTGTTGCCCGTACAGTGAAATCTGTCCAAGACGAGTTCTGTGCCCCTGGACAATGCAATATAATAATCAGTCGTCTTGTGAACTTTATTTCTTTGATTCTATCACAATTTACAATAATATAGACATTCGACTGGATTAGCCGTTCGGATGTGTGTCTAAAACGGAATATTTCTTTGATCCTATGTTAAACAATATCGGAGATATTATTTCGATTTTCAAGTAACGATTAGTTGAATTTAATTTAAATTTCGTCAAAAACAGATTAAATCTCGTAAATTTAAATTTCAACATACTATAACTTTTCCAATTTTGTAGTTATAAAAAAACTTTATATACAAAAATTGTTTAAAAAAAATACTCTACCCGAATATATAAAAAAAATATGGTATTGCCATTTAAAAAAAAAGTAAGTTATTAGTAAGTAATTTATTTGAAATTGTGTACTTTGGTACTCCCTTTCATATCCCGAAAACCTGGTTTAGAAATACAAAGTCATCCAACTGAAATATTTAGTGGTACCTTTTAGCGTGAACAAACTTTATAGTTATAATACAGTTATCTTTACGCCTAGTAATGTGGGATTTAAGTTTAAATAATAATGAACGGAAAAGTCAGAAAGTCAGAAAAGAAAAAAAGAAAAATAGTCAGAAACGAATACAAATGTTGGGCGGTTTTTTTTTTTTTTTACTTCTTGAAGGCATGTTTCATTTTTTTATTTTTTTTTTTTCGAATCAATTCAGTGTATAAAACAGATCCAAAATGTAATATGTACATTATATTTAAATAAGTACACTAATGTCCGGGAAAAATACGTGCAATAAGCGGTTTGACGATCTTCTCTCCGGGTTCCGAGACGAGTGAAGTTTACGCTGATCCGAACATGTCGTATCCGGTTGGTCACCAACCGTTTATCGTAAACTCAACCGAAACACTCACAACTTGTTGCTTTTTAAATTTTTAAAATTTATTCTGCAGAGCTTGTCGAGTTAGGACACGACACGACGTGGATCAGTAAGAATATACCTTAAAAAACACCGCACTTCCGTCAAAGTCCGTATCGGGCGGATTACCAGCAGTGAATATATTATAAAATTTAATATTTTAATGATGGATGGAAAAAAAAAAAGGAAAACGTCACGTTTTGCTTAGCGGTCCGTGTGCATATTGTAATTTTAAAATACGATATTATACAGTGGCTGACGCAGATGATTTACGGGTGCGGTATAAATGTGACGCAGTATAAATTTAATACAAATTTATATAAAATATACGTGCATATGTATTATGCACAACGCGGATATAACTGCGTTTATTATTACAACATTTCACGCGTCGTCGTGCTTCTGCGGTTTGACATTTTTAGGTGCACCCCTCCGTCCGGCGACCATAATTCTTGTCGGTCAGCTCGTAAATCCTTTCGGGGAAAACGAGTGGCGCGCGCGATATTATTATTACAATACACATTAATACACACAGACGTATACATAAAATCGTGCCCACATTGAGCAAGTAGTAGGTACAGCATATCGCGCCCTGTATTTATCGGATTCTAAAATGGATACGGAAAATTGCGCTCATAGTGCAGTCGGGTAGTGATAACTCAAACTTCGATTACCCAAAAAATTTGACTACTCGATTTTTTTTTTTTATATCCCTAGAAACACTCAATGTATTATGAGTACTGTTAATTCGAATATAAAATTATGATAAATAGCTTAGTCAAGGTATGCCTGGTTATTTTCGTAAGCATATTATGTTTTATCTACTCGACTGTGATATAAAAACAAGATCTCGAACAATACACATATCTAAGTCAATTTCTAGCTATATTTTACTGTATAACCTAACAGGAAATATTTTGAACGACTCGATACACTTAAAATGTACCCGACCGTATTATTGAAAAGAAAAAGAAAACAATCTTTTGGGAAATAGCGATAATCGCCTACTCGTGGTGTCCTCTGAGCAATGCTAAATGGCCATCATAAAAACAATACATCTGCCGGGCTCCCAACTTGCCAATGTATGCTTGGAATTTATCGGGTGCAATTTACAATGTTGTCCCTTCGTCGAGCGCAACTCACGTTTGCCCGTAAAATCTATACGCTCACACACAGGCACGCGTGCGTGTATACGAGGAACGCGCAAACCGGTCAGCGACCTTAGAGAGCTTCATTTGAATTTGTGTTCAACACACGTTAGAATACGTGTGTGCTGCCCACGCACTCATGACGCGCCGTCCGTCTAACCTACCCCGTTACCCCGTAAATCACCAAGCGGCATGGCGTTAATCACTTGCCACCGATCGACGCGATAATGTTTTAAAACTACCCCCGCGCTCGCACACGCGGCTGTCAAGATCGCAGAACACTAACCTAACCTAGGGGGACGCAATAGGGTTTTTAGCACCCCTGAGTTCAAATATAGTACTTTTGTTATTTTTCTTTCAGATCTATATAATCTATAGTAATTACAGTTGAGTACCGTTTTATTTTATTTTCAACAAATTTCAGCACCCCCAATGTTTGGGCCCATGACGCCGGGCCGCGATTTGATAACGTTAATACAACAATAACTACGGGGATTTGCAACCCGCGTACCTGAGTCGTCTTGACGTGTCCGCTTCGGGCTTGTTCTGCTTACGTTTATAGCGTTCTATTAAAACTTCGGACGCGGCGGAGGCGGATGTCTGCGCGATTCTTGCGATCCATGCACGCGTGATGGGACCTGGGCACAGCGACAGCAGCGGCCACAATATCGAATTCAATGCGAAAACGAACGCACGAATACGGTATGATTGACGGAATCAGATGTTCGTACGGTAAACGATCGTGTCATTTGTCGGTGAACACGTTTTAAAGTACGGGTAAAACGCGCGCGCGCGCGGTATGGACGAAGGCGAAACTGCACCACTCGCGTGCACGGAAACGCGCGCGTATATGACGACGAGCTGAATTTTTATTTATCGTTGTTTTCTTTTTTTCTTCTATTTGTTTTTCTTTTTTTTTTTTTTTTTCCCTATTATTTTTTTTTGGCGTTTCGTCGTCGTTGTGTTGTGGGTCGTGTAGGTGGCGGAGGGGTGTACGAGGAGACGGAGCCCGGTAGGAGGACGAGGAGTAGAAATCTGATGTTTTTGGGGGGGGTGGGAGAGAAGGAGGAGGAATTAAATGAACCGGCGGGCGACTACCGTGTGCCCGACGGCTGCAGCGCTCGCAACAACAGTAAAAATAATAGTAACGCTCGTTGAACACTTTCTTTCTGCCGCCACATATTCTTACATTGTTAAAAACATACCTGTTCCTACACTATCACCGCATTATCTTCGTAATGTATTATAATAATGTGATATTGTATACATGTGTGTATGTGTGTGTGTGTGTGTGTGTGTGTGTGTGTTGCACTCACGATATTATAAACGCATATAGTAGGAGTCAGTCCACCACGGCTGTCCCGTAGTGACTTCGAAACGGTTTTGGTATCGTCGAAATATGCGCTTATCATTATTATTATTATTTTTTTTTTCAAGTTATTAACACCTCAAAGGAGTGATGAGTACAGTTGTTTTCTGCAGTACGATTACCCAGAAAACAGCATAGAATTATAAATATTTAAAAATACAAATAATAGGTACACTTAAATACGATGTAGGATTAGTTGGTTACAAGAATTGTTAGTTCAATTATAATAATCGTTATTATATTTTTTAATTCTAGTTGTAAATCGGAAAATAAATCAAAGCAGCTGAGTACATTGTTACGTTAAAAAGTTACCGATTTATCGATATTTATAATAGAAAAATATTGTTATTGTAACAAATTTATCCTATACGAATGGAATATTTCGGCGATATTTTTGACAATATTATAATGAAGCATTTATTGCGTAATTGTCATGCCTATGAAACGGCTTATATGTCCCAAGAAAGTAGATAACTTACACAATGTTTTATTTTAATATCCCACTAATATTCCAAAATAACATTATGTGCGTATACCACAGTATAGCATTCTGTATTCAATATTCTACATTTTGACACATTTTAACGTGCGCAATGTACAGAGATATAATATGACCTGTGAAATAATAGTTTTTAAAACTGTAATATTTATTGGAAAATAATTAATTATTCGTTGATTATTGAAATAAAAATATAAAAAAATAATAATAAACCATTAATTTATGCTTAAAACGTACAACACTCTACAATAAGTATACTGTTCAATTAGTAACGTTATGATTAGAAAAAAAACAAAATTTTATGGTTTGGTTTAAAAATATCGGTTGTATCTAGATTCGAACAAGTTTTACTATTTCATATTCACTAGAACACCTATGTATAAAAAACAATCACACCCATTTTTCAATCAAATAAAAAACATATGTGTTGTGTGTACCAACAGTCTACAGCGAATTCGTATGGTTAAATTATAATTGGCGGTTTTAAATGCCTATGACTTTTTTACTTTAATTATTGTATTGATATTGTATCGTTGAAGTTTATTCTACCTTACATTACCGCGGGCTGATCTCGCAGACCCAATTCAGTTGTATTAATTGCAATGTTTTTGACTTGAATACTGTAAGAACTATTATGATATATTGGTTATTATTCTGTACGGCCTGAACTGAAATATTATAGAGATGATTTGTTTCACATTTACCCGCCAAAAAAAAATATATATATATCGATATCTTAAACGGGTATAGCGTAAGGTATACCTAGTTATACCATATACTGACTATATAGATTATCCGTTATATTAATTATTAGTTAAAATTGATTACGATTGGAAAATATACTATTGAGATATAGACTTGATAAACCGAATAGCTTCTATAGATACCGGTTTAACCAAACAATATGATTTTTGCGTATAAAGTGTAACGGCGATGGATGTTCATATCGGTAATGACCAATAACCCGACAGTTAAACTAATTCACATTTTGCCTGTGAGCTACAACAATGTTGTGCTAATATTATAAATACACGTCGTAATAAATGAATTAATAAATGTATTATAAACATACGACGGGGAATGCGTTTTAAGCGATTGCAAAGTAGAGAACGAACTGTTTATCGCATGTGCAATGTACACACCAGTATGTACAGCACGAGTATTATAATGGTGACGGGGGTCGTCTATACCGGTATTGAAACGATACGTTCTGAAGGGACTGCACACCGAGGCAGTTGGGGCGGTATTACGCGGATTACAGCGGGTTAAATCGTCGAAAAAACAAACGGACGGATGCATCTCATCGACGTGAACAACCCCCGCGTACGGGGTTATCGAGCACGAAGTTTCTTTTTTTTTTTTGCGAAACATTTGCCCCGATCACATCACCTTCGGTGTTGGCCACGTTTGCGTTCAGATTCTGCGGTGAACGTTGCCGTTCAATATTGTTACTCCTCGTAGTAGGTACACCCATTGTGTCGGCCGAGATAAGATTACCGGAGAAGAGATCGGTCGCGACGGGCAGACACGATACACGAAGAAATTAATATGTGTGTAATGTGTTGACGCGACGAAAGTAAAAGTCTTTCGCGTCACATTCGAAACTGAATTATGAACATATAACGATTACGAGAGTACGGGGAGGGGGGGAGGCAGCGGAGGCGGCAGCGGGACCTCTACCACTCGACCGAATCGGTTGCGGTATTGTGTGGTGAATGACATCGATGTTCAGGAGCCACGATTTACCATTGTACGGATCGTATCCGTGTCAGCGGAGCGCGTAACGTGTCTCTATTAACTTATTATGACCTAAAAAAAAAAAAAAAATAAAAAAATAAAACGTGCAGCGATCGGACCGCGAACTGTAACAGCGCCGCAGCAACTCCTACGACGATCATGTTCACGCGTACGTGCGCTTGATGGACGCGAACGAGTCTCGACTAGACGCGTGATTCGTTCGAACCAAAACGTGTTCCCAGTGTTCGTGGGCGCGCGCGCCCTGTGTTTTGCACGTTTACGATCGCGTAACGGCCAACGACCGTATAAAACGGTGTACGACGTATCGAAAAGGGAAAATTCAGCAGCGCCTTGTCCGAGAAATCAAAATATCTGTATCCAGTATCTTGCGCGGAAGGTTTTAATGCGCAACATTTTTTTTTTTTTTTTTATCTCGTTTTTACTCGAAATCATTTGTTAATTCGATACACTCGCGTATGTTCATGATAAGTAAAAACCAACAACGAATACGTTATGAATATTTTCATCGCGCATACATCAAATCACGTTTAATGCATAAAAGTACCTGTACGGGTTGTTCGCGATAGTCAATAAACCGATTAATGTCATAAATATATTTAAAATAATTAAAATAACATTTTAAACGTATGTAAACGATGGATAATCCGATTATTTAAGATTTCTTTTCCATAACCGTTCAGGCTTTTACAGACTTTTGAGTTTTGATATTATTTTAAATTTGATAAAATGAATTATGTTTCTTTACATTTCCAAGTCAAAATAAATATAATAACTACTCACACTAATCATGTTAATAATACACGAATCATATGGGTGATTACTTTAAACAAGTGGGTTAGTGAAGTAGTTTAGATCTAAACATAGACTCAGTTCAGGCGAATCTAATGAAATATATTCTATTTGAATTAGATAAAATAATAATAGTAATAAGTTTATATATATATATATATAGTTAGTGGTAGGTACTGCTATGCGTTTTCCGACTACAATAATCGTTTATAATTGTATACTCTTAGCCGATATCGTTTAGTACGTTGAATCCTTCTTATACCGGCATGTTTTACCAAAAGTAAACCACAGATAAACGAATAATCGTATGCAGAATTCGGTCTTCAAATATACGTGTACCTATGTAAACACAGCTGCAGTATATATCAATTAGTATGTGAAACGTGGTCACGCGTACATACAGTTTACGTAAATAATACGACGAGTGTACCAGGTCGTCCAGATGTAATGTGTATGTACAACGTTTTTTATGGTATATAATTGCGTGTAACGACATTAAATTTGTTTAGACAGATAATGGACTGAAACGCGACCACTGTGTACGATAACGTGTACATAATTTATGTATACTGCGGTAACGTTGTTTAGGTATATATAGTATAGGTACTATATAATATTATTTTATCTTCGTTCTGTTAATGCCAACAATGTTATGAAAATAAAAGTACAAGCATTAAAACGAAAAAAATAAAAATAAAATTATAAAAAAAAAAAAAAAAAAATAGCATTACATTAATAAATACAGACACGGAATTATTATATTTATTGAACTAAATTTACTGTTGTATCACTTGCGATTGAGATTACGTGTACGTAATACGGAAATTCGTATAATAATATGTTTATTCCTTTTGAAAATCATCTCGGTAGTATATTATACTATTTTACTAATAATACATATTGATTTGCGAGCTTTTTTTATTTTTTATTACGATTTATATACAGTGCTTCCGTCGTTCATTGATGTGAAAAAAATTAGGTTAAAATAGCGTAATACGTACCCATACACGTAACAAACATAACACATCGAGCGATTGCAGGTTATTCGGCATCACATTACAAAATATACACGAATAATGTAAGTATAATAAAATAAATATAATCAAGTTGGTACGTAACAATTTTTACAACAAATACTGAACATCCTCCTAGGTGATGTTTCGGTTGCCGACGAACGTTTTCACTGTCATCTAGAGTGGATCAGTATGTACCAATATGTACAATCAAAACGCGTGCGTTTAGCAATGCCCCATGGTCGTTGGCAGTAAAGGCACGCAGCTTCGGTGCTGGTAGTGCCTAAAACGTCCACACCCTGTAAAAGCCTGGGTTAGGCCCGTATCACATCAAGTCTTGGAACAGGTTCTTGGTGTCCAAGAACCTTAATCTTCTGAACCCGAGTCATGAAGTTCCGACAGATCAAGTACTTGGCTACTCTTTCTGCCCACGTC